GCCACTTCGTACATTCCCGAAACCACCCCGTACCACAACACGTACCACTTTTCTTATAGGGCCGGGTACCTAAGTATGATGCTATACTCGGGAAAACATAATAAAACATATTCATATCCATGTGTACTCGGGGTACTAAAACGGTAGGGAAATACCCGGGTACATATGTTTGGGAAATACGGTAACCTAATAGTATAGTTGTTAGACGAAACCATCAGCACCAAAATATACATTATTACGGCTGTGATGCCAAATGTCACATATCAAATAAAATTAGATTAAATTTTTAGGTCTTGGTATTTTATGACAGGTGATGATTATCATCACATGGAAACTATACCTAGTAGTAACTTGCTTTTGAAAAGTTATTATTACTGTACAGTATATATATTGTATTAACTTTTTTAAATAGATAAAGGTTAAAGATCTTTTTTAGCTATGAGCTACTATTACTTTTATAAAACTTTCTATAAGTATTACGGATTTTTTTTATTTTATTTTTTAAAATAATACTGTATACAGTAAAATTAAAGAAAAAATTATCTAATCTATTTTTTATAAAATAAAAATATGTGCAGTAAATTTTATTATAAACTTTAAGCTCCACATTCTTTTCAACTTACAAATTAACTAACTTATTTTTTGATATAAGGGAGATGAGGTATTGTGGACAGGGGGGTATTGTGGTCAGGTGAGAATATCTTGCGATTCAGTGATCAGAATTAAATGGTTTTTGCACCATTCGTCTCTTTGAGACTAATCAAATGATACAAAAATTATTTAATTCTGATCACTGAATCGCAAGATATTCTCACCTGACCACAATACCCCCGCCATCTCCCTTATATTTAATCCAAAATTGGATTTGTAAGTTGAAAAGAATATGATGCTTAAAGTTTATAGTAAACTATATATATATTATTATAAACTAACACATTATGTATCACCATAAGTGACATATTTCTTGACAGGTAGCCGTGGCTTGTCGAATGTCATTATAAATCAGTGGGCATCACCAAACTTTTTTTGCCGTGTACCGACACGAATTTTTTAGATATTATAATTTACGTGTTAAAATTTTATCATATTCAACTTTATAATTATCTGCTAAATTTTTAGTCAAAACTACTTTTACACCATAAGGATTGGGAACTGGTAAGATCTTATGAACTTATCACAATATAAAAGGGTTTATCCGGCAACTTACGATGATTGTGCGTGCATACAGAGATAATGGTTTAAACGTTAACTATTATCGCTGACAATTTTAGTTATTCAAATGCTCCCGGTAAAGGTGCAGATATAATGCTCGTAGCCTGTATTTATCATGAGTTAAGAAAAAGTTATTCCTGGATGAGTTAAATAAATATACCCCAAACCCGAGAATAATATTCCGTACTTACTCGATTAGCTCAGCCCACTGATATAAATGGATATCCTTCAAATTGCGGTCAGCAAATCCTATTAACGGCATTCTTTGAATGCCCCCGATATGTAACTGATTCTATGTAAAAATCAGGCCATTAAACCTAAAATAAAATCGACAATTATATACATATGCTACATCGATAAAAAATAAAAAATAAAAAAAAAATAGTAATAAATAAGGCAATTAAATTCAAGTTAGTAATGATTTTAGAGTTCAATCTAAATCTTGATCCGTTAAAGATAAAATTATAAAATGTCTTCGATTTAACCTCAAGAATCGTTATCTCCAATAATTAATGAAATGTGCGAATCCAATCCTCTGCTTTATGAATCTATTAACCTTCAGGATTTATTAATGTGTGAGTCCAACATAGATGATGTTATGACCATGGTTAATACCAATCTTTCTACCGATCAGTCGTCTACCATGACATCACCTGAGTTTGAACCTCAAATTCAAACAATGCTTATCAATAATAATACAAAGAACTCATCATCTTCTCAATCTGGAGATTTGTCATTGAATGATTTTCAATATCCAGTTCCCTCTTCAGACATGCCTTCCTTGAGTTCTCAAGAGCCTTTTCTATTCTTACCAAACTCTACCGCCCTTGATAATATCTTTCCAGGGTCTTTGAATAATTTGCCAACTTCTAGCAAAAACTCTATGGAAGATATTTATTCTCAAGAAACATTTTTATTCTCTCCAAACTCCGCTAACATCGGTTCTTCAGAGCCTCTATTCTATTCGCCAACTTCTAACAAAATCTTTACAGAAAACAACAGTTTCCCGAATAATCTTTCTCCATCAACTTGTACACTCTTTCAAGATTTAAATGTTTCTCCAAATAACTCTGCATTGGCCAACTTTGGCAATTACTCTTCTTCAATGGAAGATATATTTGTCACATATGATACTTCCACTGAATATGATACGATTTCTTTTGATGAATCCTTAAAAAAGAAACATAAAGGTACGTACGAATTATTAAATCTGTAAAAAAAACAATACTTATTTCAAAAGATCGGCTCTCCTGGCTCTCCTATCAAGCTTGAGACAAATTCTAACATCAACGCCACATCTGTGAAGGTTCTTTGGCATCGAACACGCGTTCAAAATTTCCTGTGATTGATAGAAATACTATTAAAGCGATACTGGCATCTTTGTATGATACCACGAATCGAACCGTCGAATCTTCTGGCACTAACCTTGTCAAAGACAACCGTTCTGATAAAGATAATGCAGAATGTGAAGAAAGTTCATTTTCCAATCCGAAGTTACCAGTATCTAGCCCCAAGTCTTCGACTGCAACTTCTGAACCACAACCAAAACCGAAAGCGCAAAACAAGCAAAATAAAACTGCACACAATGTGATTGAGCGTCGTTATCGAAATAATATTAATGACCGAATTAATGATCTAAAAAATGTAGTTCCCGCACTATGCCATTTAAAAAGCAGGGATGATGACGTAATCGAAGAAGTAGATGGTATTCCGGCCGCTACAAAAACAAATAAAGCTACTATTTTGAGAAAAGCAACCGAATATATTGTACATCTAAAAAAGAAAAACCTCGATCTCAAATGTGAAAATGTCATTTTAAAAAAGATTATTGCAGCTATCCCTGGTGGTATCGAGTTATATGATGCTTATCTCAAGATTGAAAGTGAAATGGAGACTCCGCCGGATACACCTCCTTCTGAGATTGACCCTTATATTCCATATCAATATAAACCATCAACTCCTCCCTCTAGAAATGCTGGTTCAAGAGTATTGATGACTTTGTTTATGTGCATGACTTTTCTTACGGATCTGTCGGAATATGCCCAATCGGATTCTCATCATCGTCATCATCATCATCATAATAAAGGACGTGTCATTGCTAGTAACGATAAAGAATCAGTAGTTCCAGATGGAATTCATAGATTATGGGATAGTATGACGATCGATATTTGGTATGTATATTAAATTTTCATTTCATTATTATTATTATTTTATCATGGAAAACTCATCTGTCACATGATTAAATAGGTATTTGGTCAGGATTATTACTTTCCTTATGTGTTTTACTTATATCATCTGGCCATCTTTGTTTTCAACCATTCGTAAACCTGTTATCATATCTCGTTCAACTCCCAAAATTAAAGATGCAACAAAGCTTTACTTGTCCCTTTCATCCCTTTCGAATATTTCGTCAATGAATACTTTGGGATTTGCGGCTGGTCTTTTTATTGAATCTTTAAGATTATTTTTAAGAAGATTTTTGGGATGGGATATTTTTTGTGATCATGTTAACGTAGGCATGGATGAAAGATTGTTAGAGGTTGAATTATGGAACCGACTTGGTGAAGCAGAATTATGTGGTGGTGAGTATTTATAATGTAAACTTATGAATTGATATATGATATCATTATTAAAATTTTTCCGATGTCTCTTATTCATTTTTTTTAGGAAATAAACATGTAACTCGTCTTTCAATCTTATACACATGCCTTCGAACGATTAATATTTTGGAAAATCCTTATAATATGAATATGCATGCCAGCCATTCTCGTATATATGCAAATGCCGCATTACAATGTTATGTTGGCCTTCGTTCAGTTCCTTTTTTACGCCGTAGAGCTGTATCTCACTTTTGGGAACTGGCTATTAAAGAAAAAAGTTGTTTCAGTTCTGAAGATAAATGGCTTGAAATCGCACTTATTAGAGATCAATATAACGACATTTTGGAAAATGTGGCCAATAGGATCAATGATCATATTTTTCATTCATCAAAAAACGCGAAAACTTTTCAATCTGTAGTTAACACAACCGTTCCACTTGTTTATGTTTCCGAAATTCAAGCTCTTTTCCATATCAAGGAAGCCTTTTACAATCTTATTTCTGAAAGACATGGCATGATTAAGATTCAAAAAAAAAGTAAGTTTACTTTTTCCGAACTTCACAGTATTTTCACATCTACTTCTCTAATGCACTGGTATACGTTGATTGGATGTGCTGTCCAGGCTTTTTATGAAGGTAAAAATGATCTTGGCTCAGAACTAGTAAACAAGTTAAAGGAAGGATCAATGACTGATGACAATTTGAATAAACAGATTATTATAATGAGTTTACTCTCTCGATCTCACTTAATTTGTGGTAAAATTAAAGCTTCTATTCATTGTGCTGATAAAGCTATAAACTGTATTTCTTTACGAAAAAATGAACAAATGGAAACTATAGAAATCGAAAAAAATTTGATGATTAGGGAGATTGTGAAAGATATTCAAGATTTAGTAGAGTTTTGCGTTGGATGGATTGCTTTAGAAACAAGAGTTGTTGTACTGAAAATTGTCGGAAATTTCTTATCAAAAAATGAGGTTAGAAAATTGCCAAATGTACTTGTTGAGAACCATTTAAGATCTTCCATTAACATTTTGGCTCGTTATCTGCGTCGATCGACAAAATCTGACGCATTTGATAAAATCTCAAAATTACGAGAAAGATTTATAAGGAAACTTGACGCTCTCGGAAGGATTATATCTGGTATCGATGAGAATTATGACCCTGGGTGTGATTGTGACGATTACGATAAACAGGACAGTAATGAGTATAAAGCCACAAGGGCCTTACGTGTCTTAAAGGGAATGTAAACACAAACGCAATCAATATTATGTATATATTCTTGTCTTTTTCGATTGTAAAAAGTACCCCTCCCACTCAATAAGAACCTACATCTTTTTTTTACTTGAAGTAAGTACAACCTTTCCCCCTTTTATTCAATCGTTTTTATTTTTATATACTCGAAAAAAAATACCCGAGAAAAAAAACGCATTTAATATACCCGAAAAAAAAAAAATTTCAACGTACCCGCATTCTGGTTTCAATTTGTGCCCAGTTAAAAACTAGGAAATATAAGCATTCCGATATGCACTATGAAAAACAACCTTTATTGACAAGCAATTTTCGATATCAGAATTTTAATGTTTTTAAGAGTAGTTAATATACTAGTAAAGTTACATATTTATAAGCGTTATGTTATGTTATCAATTTATGTCTAGTTTTCGGATTATTTTTTTCCTGTTAAGGTGGACTATTTGTCAGCAGATATTTTCTTTATTTTATTTTATGTAGTCATGCTGATTAGATTTGTCATAATTGATTCCTTTGTTGCCTTTGGCAGTATGAGAAACCAATAAACTTCGCGTGAAATTTTAAGGTGAAACTATCTGAAATTTTTTTTTCGCAGTATAACTACTTTTGAATGTTTATATATATTTCGTTCTCCACATCTAAAATGTTCGAATCAATCACAAAACTTCTGACCTAAATAGGCGACTGCGCGCCATTCTGAATTTTTTGGATTAAAATTGGATCGGGATCAATTAATAATCTGTACCTCGAATCCAAGACCCCTTATTTTCGCCTATTTTTGTCAAAATTATCTGCTAATTGACGTAAAAATTATAATATAATAATAATTATACGTATTTGGTTAGATTCTTGTTATTCATATGATTATTTCTCATAGGCAGACTTTCGTATGATTGGCAGTTTAAATCAATTTAATTCTACATTATTTGTACAGTTTAAAGTACTTTTCAAAAAAAAGAAAACTACTAAAAAAAGAAGTATATAGAAAGTTATATTAGCGTTGTAGGACTCCACTATTAAAAAGAATTTTGAATATTTTTAATAGTGGAGTCCTACAACGCTAATAAAACCTTCCATATACTTCTTTTTTGTTTATTTTCTTTTTTTAAAAAGTACTTTAAACTGTATAAATTTAAACTGCCAATCATGATTATTTCACTACTAAAAATTGTGTGACATATACAAATTTTTGACCACCAAATCTCGTGATAATTTAAACTCACAGTAAATATATTTTCTAAATGCAAATATTTTAAGTATAGTAAAATGACTTTATATTTATACTGTAAATAGAATTTTATCTATACTTGTATTGAAGATCCTATTAATAAATTTAAAACTTCCAGCGATGATTTCTCAATAACTACTTGATTTAATTCAGTAAAATCTTATTATTTTAATTTTATAATATTGTAAAATTTAAATAAAAAAAAGTTCATTAAATTTAATTTAGTAGTTTTCGAGAAATCAGCGCGAAAAGTTTACAAAAAAACCAAAAAAATATTTGAAAAAAATTCTTTGAACTTTAAACGACGATTTCTCGACAACCAAGTATCCAAATTTGATGAAATTTTTTTATTTTAATGCTGTAGGTTTATAGAATTAAAATAAACATTTCTGATCGAATTTGAATAGCTGGCTGTCGAGAAATATTCATTAAAAGCTAAAAAAAAGTTTGACCGCAGCTTCTTTTTTAAAGACATTAAAACTTTGAACAAGATTACTCGGCACTTACCTAGTCAAATTCGATCAAATTTTTTTATTTTAATTCTATGAACATTTAGAATTAAAATAAAAAAAAATTGATCGAATTTGACCAGGTAAGTGCCAAGTAATCTTGTTCAAAGTTTAGGCGCCTATAAAAAAAAGCTGTGGCCAATCTTTTTTAGCTTTTAATGAATTTTTCTCGACAACCAGCTATTCAAATTCGATCAGAAATTTTTTATTTAATTCTATAAACCTACAGAATTAAAATAAAAAAAATTTCATCAAACTTAGATACTCGGTTGTAGTGATCCAAATCGTTAGTTGAAAAACCAACTAGTTGACAACTAACTAATAAATCGATTTAAAAATTTTTAAAATAACTAATCGATTAATTTGTTAGTTGTCAACTAACTAATATTAGATTAATCAACTAAATAACTTATACTGTAAATAGTATAATCATACAGTATATTGGTTAAATTGATAGTATCGTATACAGTATATTTATTATTATATGAGTTTATTTATTGTAACTTTGTTATCCGGTCTTTTAATGAATATACAAAAATAATCTATTTTAAGTATTTCGAACAATTATTTATATCATATTTGTTTAAACCAGAACCGAATCTTCTTATTCTTAAAACAGTAAAATATAGCATACATACCATGGTCTTGGCATGCTTAATTAATCATGAGATCTGATTTCGTGACCTTGGCATGCGCGTACGTACGTACGTACGTATATATTAGATATATTTATTTATTATTTAAACCAGAACCGAATCTTCTTATTCTTAAAACAGTAAAATATAGCATA